ATCTAAGGCCATCGAGGAGAAGAGAGAGAGACGAAATTTCTACCAAGGGGAAATATACACTTTTACCATTAACCATAAAGAGATTGAATTAGGTAATCTTGGGGTATGTGGAGGAGACGTTTGACGGGTCTCGTAAATGTGTTTTACAGTTACTTAATTCCATTATCGAACCACCGTTCGGTCCCCCCCGAGTGGCAACTAGTGCCGACAGTCGTCTTTTGCGTAGACAGTTATGCGTCACTGCGCGCGCGCGAGGTGTAGCCATGTGTTGGTGCGTGTGGTGTGTGTGTGTGTGTGTGTGTGTGGTTGTGTGTGTGTGTGTGTGTGTGTGTGTTGTGTGTGTCGGTGACCACCAACAAGTGCTCGGTAAATTGAGAGACATCCTGTGTGTGTGAGCGTGTGTAACAACCGTGAGATGTTGGATAAATTGAGGACAGGTCTTGTGTGTTCGTGGTGTGTGTAATGGCCCTCCCTTTTTATGTCGACCTCTTCACACACCCCCCCTTTTGCACAGGACAGGGGGCTCCAGCACTGCGTAAGGAGACACGATTATCTATTCTGTGGTTTCTCCCGTTTTTTGTAAGGGCCCTGAACCAAATCGAACGTCCGTCCGGACCTTATGTTTAGCGTGCCAGTAGATAAACATTTGGTGACAGAATGGTTATTTCCTCTACCTTGGGTAACTGCTCCGATGAAATGTGTTCGTCAAGACGTGTATCTGAGATCGTAATCATTGGCGTCGAGGGCGACCCTATCTCACTCCGAAACCACATTTTACTATCTTCACTAACAGACTCACGACTCAGTTCACGACTCGTCGTCACTTGCTGTCTACAAAGCTACTCGTTGACTAGTTCGTATTTTTGTTTTTTTCGCTTCACAATTCGTTACACCGGAATTACGACAAACATATCTTATAGAATTTCCCGCGCAAGTTGTAGGAAAAAGAGTGAAGGACAAATTACATTAACCTTCAAATTATTGAACACAAGGTCCGGTTGTAAAACTTACAATTGTAAAATATCCTATAAATAGGTCCACAAAAGTCACCAAACGATAATCTTGGTTTTACGTGGAATAACATAACGATCGCTGTG